AAATTGAAATCTCTAATGGTTTTATGTAATGGTAAAAGACAGGATCCTCTTTCTTATGCACAAAGGTTCGTGAAGCTATTGCAACGGCGGTGTAAACTATTAGCCAACTCAAAAGCTATGGTTTTTTCTAGTCACTAGATCCTTCATAAGTTTGGCATAGCCGGGCATTTGCTTAAGTTCCTTGACTAAGGGAATATTCACAAAAAGCTGCTTCAGCATAGAAATAAATTTGTAAATTTCCTTCCTCGGCCTTCTTCTTTATTCTTTGAGGGAAAGGTGGAGGAGGTCGTGGAATGGGCTTCACAACTTGAAGGGACTTCTTCTCCTTCCCTTTTTCAAACTAGTGTCATTTTAAAAAATTGTAGACTTTCTCCTCTGATTTTCTTTAATCAACTACTCTTCAGATTCAGTAACTTCTTTTGCTTCAATTATCTCGGTTCAATATCTTCAACTATGACATAGGTAGCTCATTTTATTGATTTTCCTCTCTAGTAGTTACAGCTATACCAATAACTGTAATTCCTTTGGATTCTAAATTGTATTAGTAGGTAGTGTAACCTTTTCCTCTGATTCAAGGATGTAGACATTTGGCTCAACTGTTGCTCTATTTGTGATCGTTTGTGGCATGTGACTCAACTGCAGTTCATCCTAGATAAATCTCCACAAATGTCCTTCAAGTGATCATCAGTGAGCTTAACCTTTGTCAACACCTTGGCCATCATGTACTCTAGTTTCAAAGTACTAGACTCTACCACAATAATTCTTATACCCATATTTCTTCCTCAAATCAACGATTAGATTCTTATCTATATTTCTATCCTTGTACCATTTGATTATAGTTGTCCCTGTAATAGTTTCGACATGATTCCCTTGACTTTGGCGCCAAAAGTCCTGATTAGACCTTTTGGCATTGGCTTGGGAAACTCCCACCTGATTATCCAAGTAATTTGCCTCCTCCTCGGATTTAGAGTTTTTCATACTTCGGCTCTTTCCCTTGAGCTTTTGATATTTACCTTTTTAGTTCAAGCTCCCATGATGTTCTTTGTAAGAAAGTCAATAGAAATTTTCATATGAGCAATGTCTTGGTCACATTTTTTTTCTATGTTTCTCCTTAGTCATCCCGATAGTATATATTCTAGAAATACCTCAACTGCTCTTGTATAACAAGCCATGTTTGTTTCGTCACCCGATCTAGTATCACCATTTCTTACTTTGCCCATGTATGACTCATCAAAGGTCCTCCCACTACACTGTCTGAACATCATTTATTTGTGTTCATAGACCTGTAAGATTTCTAACAATCTCTCATTGGGAATTCTATGATTTGGGCTCTTAATAGTTTCTTATTAAACCACAACCACGTCTCATTACATTGCTTGTATGTGGATTATCAAATGTATAGATCTTATCACTTTAGTTACAACATTCTCAAAGGCAGAAAGAACCTCTCCAAAGGCATGCTTCAACTCTCTCAATTGGTGATAGAATCATTTGGTAGCTCAGAAATTATAAAATAGCTTCACCCATAACAAAGAATGGAAATAGCCATAATCAGATGGCATCTTTGTTCACTCCAAGTAACCTTAAGCCTTGCATAACCTTACAAAATTCATCAAATATAGATTTGCATCATCAACCGCATTACCACCAAAACACCTTTCATGTTTAACAATTGTATCATTGTACTAGTGATTTCAAACTTTTCCCCAACAGGTAAAGGTGGGGGAACTATGGCACTTGTTAACCTAGCTTCATCTATATACGTATCGGCATCGTCATCAAACTAGGGTGCATATCTTTGGAATTGAGGCTATTCGCGACCTCTATATCTCATGCTACGCCCAGCATTCATATTTCCTCCTGAGCATCATTGGCAACCTCAGGGCATCTTGATGGCTGAATTCAGCCTGATAAGCCTTATTAGGTCGTCGAGCCTTATTATCCATCTAGCTTCAACTTTCTTTGGAGTTTCAATTGCAGTCATTCTTCTCGGTATGTGCTCAGGACCGTGATTGATTGGAATCAGAGGTTTTACCTTGACTCTAGGTTCTTGGAATTCACCAAACTGTAACCTAATTAAAATAAAAATAATAGAAAGTGTAAATAAGGAAATAAGGACTAAAAAGTTATATAATCACGAATTAATCTAATCCATATTCCACGACAATGGCACCATATTTTATATAGCCAAAACTACACCTCAAAATGAAGTATAAAATGGTGATTAATTAAGTGAAGAACCCAACCAAGGTTGGGATCGATCCTATGAGAAATATGGTTAATATCCTGATTAATGAATTTATTTACGCTTTTAGTCAATTTATTTCAGATAGAGTTTAAAGAACAAGTAAATATTGTCAAATTATGTTGTGATCGATTGATGCAAATTACTAGAGATGTGTTCCCATGATTTCATAGTTACGTAGGTTTATCATACTTATGATCTATCCCAATTCTTAGCATGTAGAGCGCGATAAGAAAAGTTTACCCTAAGTGTCGGTTCACCTCTATCACAGTGAAGGGAATAACAATGCAAGCATACCAAATTGGTTTAGAATCTACGTACGTAACCCTACTTCATTAATTCATCATCGTTCCCACAACCCTAGTTGTGGGATATAATATCATGTTTGTAAGAACACAACAAGATTCATAAGAAAGCATATTTATGAACTAATAATTTGAATAGAATAAATCCGAAATAACGGGTGATTAATCTCCAAAACACAAAAACAAATAATGTTTTTAGTTGCTTTAGCCTCAAGGGCATATCAAGTTGTCATGACCCAAAAGCATAGACGTGAACGCGGTATGAGACCTAGAACCGTGAATGACTTTAAGAACCGCTCATGAGTATAGCATATTTTATCATAATATAACTTATAAATAAAATTGAAAGCTAACTGAAGTGTAAAACATTCAATCATGGATACAAGATAAGCCCGATAATTTAACACTAAGTCATAAAGTTGACCATACTAAATCTATGTCTGAAAACCTCTACTAGCGAGGAGTTTGGGACAAGTCTAGCTAACTCTAAAATCATAAAACTAAAACAGATGAAGAACTAAATAAAATAATACAACTCCAGTCCTCGGAAGATGAGTGACGTTGGGCATATTCTTATGACCATTTGCCATTCTTTTACCCATGTTTTATCATGTTTTGAGGCGTTATCCTTATGAAATGCATATTTCATGAATGTATATGAAATGAGCTAACAAATATTTTTATTTGATTTTAGTAGGCAACATATGAAAAAATACTTTAAAATGGTGCAAAGTGTGAAGAAATAAGAATTAGGAAAATTTGGCTGGTGAGATAGCAAAGAGTGGCATGCCTGACCACTATACTTCAATGAAAATTGGGCTTAGATTGGTGCTATGGCTAGTGTAGTGCGCCAGACCTCAAACTTTAGAAGAATTTTTTATCAACACCTTGATGAATTAAGTGGAGTGGCGCGCCGTGTTGGACGGGAGGAGTATGACTTTGAGTAGCTAAATCTTTATACTATCCTAGAGCTAATCAAAATTATGCTATAACGAATAGTATTTCTATGTTTAGTTTTCTGATACTCTTATACATCATTTTCTTAGTTTTATTTCTTAAGTTGGTAGCGGATTTCAATCACGGTCTAGGCGTTGGCAAGCCTGTATTTTCCATTGGATTATCTCTAAAGTTTGAGTACTAGAGCTGAGATAGATGGTGTTCCCTTCAATAGAAATAAAAAGAATAAGATAATAGTAATTAGAGAGAAGATAACTGAAGTAAATACTACACAAAGAAATAATTATGAAGGAGTAACATCTAAAGTAGATGGCTGGCCCTAGGATAGTACTACCCATTCCCATAATACTTCGTATTATATTTACAAATTTAAGCTTACACATCCATTTATAGAACAAATAAAATACTACAATAGAAGAAAATGGGTATGTTTGAAATACCAGAGCAAAACTAAAAAGAAAAGAACATAAATATTAAAGGACTTAGACTATTATAAAAAATGAATACTTTCAAAAACTTTTGATAATTTTTCTAAAAAGATAACTAGAAAATTAATTCTTTATAATTTAATCAAGTTATATAATGAATTATGTTATGTTAGTCATAATTTGTCTATACAAAGAAGACAATTAAATGATATATTAAATTGTTCATTAAAACTAGGCGAACAATTTTAATGGATACCTTTGAAAATTAGAACATAATAAATAGTATTACTATTTCTGCCATAACTACTAAAATAGCTAAGATAGAAAGTGATTTTCAAAATTGAAATATTCTGGCCTAGCACCTTATATTTTTTGGCAAGGAACATTTTTGAAAGGTATATAAAATTGGACACTTTAATTTTATAAAAATTAAATGTTAAAACCTACAAATCTACGATCGCTGTAATCTTTTTGACTATTAAATTATTGATGACTGAAGACATTAATAGATATGAAAAATTATAAGTTTTCTTCACATAGGACTTGTCTAAGTTGCGGTTAAATGTTGTATCGATTAGGCTTAGACATACCGATATGTCTTCTATTAAGAGACAATAGGATACTAAACTTTGATGATTCATTATTAGCAGTACTACAAAGTAATCCTGGCTAATAATCCGGTATATTTTAAGCATTATCCCAGTTTTTTCTATAGATATTAATGATCAAAATGTTATGGATACCCTAACATTAAATATTAAAACAAAAAAACATGGATATAAAAAAAATACAAGAGAAATAGCCATAATATATAGCGTATATTATATGCTAATGAAAACTACCCTAATTCAAAAGTAAAAAATATCAAGTAAAGAGGTTACCATGCTTATGGAGGCTAATCATAATACATTAATATTTTTATCCCAAATATGATAAAATGGGATGATGGGTAGTAATGGATAATTGACATTTGGCTCATAATGGAGCTAGAAATTGAGGAAGAAAATTCAAACATTGAGCAGGTAATACAATTTCCGAATGGATCTATAGATTTAAAATTTATAAGATCTGATTCGAATGGTAAAATTTCTCTTTGCCATGGAGAAGATGCAGGTTCGATTCCCGCTATCCAAGATCCATCTTTTAGTCATGCTTCTTCAAGTAAAAGAATGTCTTTTTTAAGACCTTCATTTTCAAAAAACCCAAGAATAAAAGGAGGTAACTCTTGAAGACATAGAGAAAAAAAATTAAAAAAGATTATATTTCTGAAACAATTCTAAGGTTGAATATGAACCTAGAATTACAAAAAGAACAAGTCTCACTGCTAGTGAGATGCTATGAGTAAGAGACTCTTTATTCATGATCGAGATAGATGAGAGTTCGAACTAGACTTTGAATTTTTAGATAAACTTTGGTTAGATCCGAGAAAATAGCATAAAAGGCAATGGTATGTACAAAAATATTCATTGAAGAAAAGGTTATCCTTTAGGAAAAATTGGTGCGCCGATATTGAAAAAATGAGATGCCATTTAGAGTTCTTTAAATAGTATGAGTACAGGGGAAATTGCATGATCAAAAGGAATCATTAAACATGATCGTTAATAAATGGTATACCAAAACTAAGGTGGTTGAATCTATAATTTTCCCATTAGAAGAAATTAGTGTACCAATAGATGGTAGAATTGTTATAGCTACACCTTTTAAAATAGATATAGCAGACAACCAAGGTGATCCTAAGAATAAAGATATAAATCGATTAATTCAACAAAATAATTATAAAAACATAAATATTAAAAAAATCAAAAAAGATAAAAAAATTAAAAAAATTAAAATCAATATTTAATGATAAATTAAGCCCTTCCTATAATAATAAGAAATTAGAAACGATTCCAATATTTAAATTACCAAGAAATTTTTCAAAGATAAATTCCCAAATTTCGAAAATTTTGAAATCATAGATGATCTTATAGAAAAGAGTAATGAAAAAGTTAAAAAGTTGAATTAAAATTAAAGAATAAATTAAAATTAAAGGATGAATTAAAATTAAAAGATGATAAGGTCATAAGAGCAATATCCAAAAAGTCTTATAACAACACACTAATAAGTTAATCTCTAAATATTCAATCAAAATAATTATTTGATCAAACCCTCATTCGGCTATGCAGTATGAAGAAAATGAATTTTATCTCATACTTCACTTCTAAACGAAATTGTTGAATGGAATATTGATGTGCTTTCAAAACATGAGATATACAATGTTAGTTCCCATGGTTTTGATGATTGACAACATGTTGATGAAACGAGGTGAGTAAATTTGTTTAATGGCGTGTCAAATTTACTGCTTCAAGGATCTTGGGAAATGTCAAGAGATGAAACAGCATGAATTAAGTATTTGATAAGTTGTATCAAACAAACTTATCCAAAATCAACACATAATAGTTAAAATAGAGTTGGAGTTTGATTTGTACGTGCAAATACAAGAGATTAACTTGAAGAAAGACTTCTACATGGAGTGGACCTCTACGGCGGTTAAAGGTGTTGCGGCAAAGAGATTGGAAGGAAGAAGAACTGTTTGGAGAGTTGGTGCCCAAATTTGACTTCTCGGAAGAAAATACACACCTAACAAGAGAAAAGATCCCATTGCAATAGGGTAAGAATCTTTTAATAGCCTTGTCACAATAGCCTCAGACATAGGCCCAGACCTAGACACAGGACAAAAAGAACCCCGAGAGGCTCCAAGTCGACCCATGGCATAGAAAATTACATCTAAATTTAACATAATCAAGTGGAATTCTAACATATATAATAAGAAAAAATGGAAATATCATAACTTCTAAATACATAATTACAGTTAGAAACGGCGCCATGCTATATCTAAAAAGCACCTCTACTATGGACGATTTGATGGGCAAGACCCAACTAACTCACTAAGTCTGAAATGATAAATACTCAATATAATTGATAAAGGGCCCTCGGAAGATGAGGACTCACCAGGCTGAGACTAGAAGATGCTAAAGCGAGAATCGGCTATTGGAGGAATTTGAGCTGGATATCAGGGCACAGCATCATGAAATGATGTAACATTGAGATACGGTCGGTATGTGAAATGTACCGAGTATGTAAAAGAGTAAGTGAGCCGCCAGCCAGCCAGCCCCACCACGCTACCCACCTCCACCTTCCTCAAAATAGATGCAAGAAGTGGGCTTCCTTTACTATTTTCCCATCATAGTAATCTGCTGTAGCCTGCTTTCAATCTGAGGCAACAACACTTTCATATCTAACCGCTCCGCTGTCGTCGCTCGCCGCGCTATAACCTCACGACAGCAAAACACACCACCCATCCACGAGCTCTTAGAGCCCAAATCACCTGTCCAGCTGCTTCACAGCCGAAACACCTGTGGTCAACCTCCACCAGTAGGAAAAATGAATTTCAAAAACCGCACCAGGACTAAGGATACTACCATGACCTCAATATCAACCGGCAGAAGCTTCATTGGGTCAATAGCCAGGCTCTTCCATTGCTTACCGTTTAAGAAACCTGGAGTTGCTTGACTCTAGCCAGCCTCGGTGCGGAACATACTCAAAAACAGGAATATGCTCTTCATCTCTTTTCAATGAAGTTGAACCATTGTCAACTGCCGAAGCTGGCTCATAATATACATGCATAAATCTTAAATCATAACACGAGGAGCCTTGGGCTCAAACCAGCACCACAAGCTAAAATAGTGGAAGTCTAGACTCCAAAAAATCCATGTGGTAGCTAATACATGAAGTTTAGATAAATCATGAAACATACTTGATCATATTAGCTTGCCCAATATTTACACATGCTTGACATAGGCTTAATTCATTCAAAAACATAAATATAGACATGGGTACTTTGAAATCATACTTTCTTCATATACATCTTAGCAATAGCGAGCATACATCATAATCTCATCTATTCATGAACCTTTCATGGTTGGGCATCATAATTAGTAAAGTATGAAAACATAATTTATATTGAAAACATTGTAACATATACTTACGTATTCATAATTCCAACATTTAGAAACATGCTAGGAACATACCCATGATTGATACTTAGAAATTCATATAGTGGATTAAAAACCCATAGATTCATCAACTAAAATTTCATGAATTGAAGAGGGATTGGGCATCGGTGTGGATGATTACACCCATTCATAACCCTACATACCAATAGAATTTGATTACACACACTCTCTTGATTTTCAATTGGAAATTTGGGGAAGAACTTGAGGAATCCAGGCAGTCACCCTTAGGAGCTTCTAGACTATAGCATGCATGAAAGTGAATAGTCTAGAATACTTACCAGTCTTAAAACACACTATTTTTAATTAAAATGATGTAGTATAGGCCTTATGAACTTAGGAATTATGGAGAAGCACTTAATGAATTCGTAGGAAGTTGCACACTGTCAGTCCTAATGAGAAGTATTTGGACGACTCGTGCCTAGACAGAAGCTTGTGGTCAAGTCGTTTCCTACACTGGAATCTTCTTCTAAGGGTCACCACAAGGGACACCATGACTCATGATGGTGCACCCAATGACTCATAGTGAACAAGTCATCATCAGCATTTCCCAAACTCCTTCCACATTCAATCACTCTTCAACACGGTTGCTTGGTGTGGAGGCCGGGCGACTCTTAGTCACACTAGTTGTCACCTCAAAACTCAAAATTCAACCTAGTCCAAGAACTCCTCCCTAAGAGTCACTCAATGAATCGTGGTGCACCCACGGGTCACTGTGACACCCTCGAGGTCCTTGGGGTGGACCGAGTTAGATGAAGCTCAACAAAAAATCATGCGAGAAATTTTCTTGAGAACAAGTCATAGAATGACTCATTAAGAGATTATAATTGGTCTTGGTTTGACCCGTGAGGAACTGTAAAGAGGGGATGGCAAGCTAGTAGCCACAGACGATCTACCAAGTCATTATGCTTGGCAATGACTCATTAGGTTGGTCGTTGGGTGGTCAAGAGTTGAAGTCATGAAATGTTATCGATTGTACTTGGGTGGACTGTGGTCGTTTAGAGGAAGCAACGAATCATCATGTTGATCGTGGGTTGAGGTAGCTGAAGTTCTGAGTAAATTTTAGGTGCACTTGACAGTGGGTACAATGGTCGTTGGAGATGGAGACGAGTCGTTATGTTGGTCGTAGGCTATGTTGAAGGAATTTTGGAAGGTTGAAGCAGTGCACTCCTGCGACTCTGTTCCCATGAGTCATTTCATGTCCCCACGACTCGTGGGGTGCCCCTTGTGGGGGCCTGACGAATTTATTTTCTCTATATTTTCCCAAAGGGTATTATCTTAACGTCCTATGCTATTAACTCTAAACTACGTCGTTTGTATATTGTTTGGAACATTTGTAAGGGTTTCTACAAGCGTAAACCCTCAGTCTCTCAAGATATCTCTCAAAGCTCTTCTCCTTCTCTCTTCTCAAGATTCAAGAACTTCACCAAGGTGTTCATCAAGCTTCAAGGGAAATTTCAGATGGGTTTCTCTACGCCCGGGTATGCGGGTTTTCAACAAGGATGCTCTTCTATCATTGTGCCCAAAATATTTTCATTTAAAAATGCCCAATTTCTACTATTCTAGAAAATGCATGACCAAAGGTTTTAAATTCACGGTGAATCCTCCTACAACTCTTTAAATTTCAAGATCTATTTTGATTATGAGATAAGTACGACGTATAATGATTGGGTTAAATTTAAATATGTGTTGGGTGATGAAAGAAGTGTGGAGTTATAGTATTCTTCATGAATGGTTTGAGATTTAAATGCGACTTTGTCATTGTTCATGCAATTATCACAAATCCCTTGCATCCATGTTTAATATGTAAAACTTGTGTGATTATCCCTTAGAATTTGAATATGTAAATAATAGATGTGATGAGATTAAATTAGAGTTTATGGACTTGAATAATTGAGAGTAAAATATGAATGTCCTGATGTTGTGATGGAATTAATTGGGTAAGAAGTAAATCTATGATAATGGTCTATCTAATTCATCCTTCTCAAGAATTGGAATAAATCTTTAAATGGGTCTTATGAAATAAAGATATACACTTCTCACATGATTCCGTTATATATATATTTGAGGGTATGAGTAAGCACATA